TATTTTTTCCCTTTCGCCCGGAACAACTGTATTTGAGCGGCGGGAGAGGGAGGGGGGGAGTGCCCGTTGGTTGGCCCTAGTTCGGGCCGCCCTCGTTGGGGCTGCCAGGCAGCTGGAACCTGGACTCGGGCGACTCCAGCCCCAACGAGGGCTGCCAGGCAGCGGGAACCTGGACTCGGTTGACTCCAGCGGCCGGTCTCAGGCTCAAGGTCGGGGTTGGTGTCAGGCTGGCAGAGTCGACGTCGACGTCGACGTCACCTCACTTTATCTTTGGTGTGGATTGGAGTAGGGTGGGCTCGGGGCATGGGCGACAATGTGGTGGTGATGGGTGTGGGTGTGGGTGTGGGCGTGGCGTGCGGCGGGTCGGGCAGTGACGGGAGCAGCAGGAGCAGGAGCAGCAGGAGCAGGAGCAGCAGCAGAGGGCATGACGGTGACTGGTATGAAGAAGATGGATCGTTGGAGTTCTGGAGACGCGACGGCGACGGCGATGGTGATGGCGGTGGACATGGACATGGACATGGACATGATGCGAGCTGTGATGAGAGTGGTGATGGAACGAGGGCACCACGTCGCGCATCGTTGTGGCTCCGTGCTGGCTTTCTCCTCCTCGGCATCGGCCTGCTGTATCCATGGAATGCGGTGGTCAACTCGGCAGGGTACTTTCGAGCCAAGTTTGCCGACGAGGACGTAGCGTTTAAGCTGTCTGTGGCGTTTATGGTGCCGAATCTTGTGGCGCTTGGCGGGATGGTGTTTGGATCGGCGTATGTGAAGCTCTCTGTTAGGTTGCTTGTCGGCTTTGGGGCATATGTGGTGCTGGTGGCGATTCTTCCACTGCTGCCTGCGCTGTGGATGGTGCTCGCCGACGTGGCAGTGCTCGGGCTGCTGGATGCTGTTGTCCAGGGCTCGGTCTTTGCGCTTGGGGCGATGACGGGCCCAGAGTTGATGGAGGCGGTGATGTCTGGGGTCGGGCTTGCAGGGCTTGTGGTGACGATGCTGTACATGGTGGCGCTGTGGATTGCAAGTGCGATGGGGACCGACGCCGAGTCGCTGGCGGCGAGCCTGTTTTTCTCGACGTCCGCCATGGTGCTGGCAGCATGCGTGGCGGTGACCGGGCGGGCGACGCGACGTGCGGCGGCGCTGCGGCTGGCCAACTCGGGCGGATCGGCGCCGGTGGCCGGACACGGTGGGCTGAGTGCGATGCCGGCATGGCCGGTGGTGGTGCGGGTGGCAGGGGCAATCCGCAAGCATGCCGCGCTTGTGTTTGTCAACTTTGCGCTGACGCTGGCGATGTTTCCGGGCGTGGCGCTGCTGATCAAGTCTGAGCACGCCGGACTCAACGCATGCCCGGTGGCGCCGGCAGAATGTCCGGCGGGCCAGGGTACGTCTGCGGTTCCGATCGGAGTCTGGCTCGTCTTTACGTTTATGGTCGGCGACTTTGTGGGCCGGTCGCTGCCGGGGTGGATGGAGGCGAGTCTGCCGGACGAGCTGCTGGGCGGAGCGATCGCGAGCCGGGCTATATTTGTGCCGCTGTTTGTTCTCCAGGTAGCGCCGCGGGTCATTGCGTCCGATGGGGTGGCGTTTTGCGTCATGGCCGTGTTTGCGGTGAGCAACGGGTACTGCGGCTCGCTGTGCATGATCCGCGGACCGGAGGCGGCGCGGACGAACGCCGACAAGGAGCTGGCCGGCATGATCATGGTGGCGTCGCTGACGTCGGGTCTCACACTGGGGGTGGTGAGCGGACTGGTCATTGCGCAGTTTATGTGAGCGGGTTAGAAGAGCGGACGCGAGCCAGCGAAGGAGGAGTGTGTAGCGACGGCGTGGCGGATGGCCGGCGACGAGGGCGAGATGCCGCGGTAGGAGGCGAGGAGCTCGGCCGTGAGGTCTGCGGGCGGCGGGCCCATGCCGACGGTGCGGCCCGAGGAGCGGCGGCGCGGCGAGCGCTTCGCGGCGATGGCAGCGCTCTTGCGCGCACGGGAGCGCATGGTGGCGGCGCGGTCTTGGAGGGCAGCATAAAGCTCCGGGTCGAGCGAGGGCATGTAGTTGTTGTGCCAGACGGCGGCGTCCCAACGCGAGCCGTTGCGGAACCACGAGGCGACGTTGATGTGGGCCGGATTGAGCTTGTAGTACGCGAGGTCGGTTGTCCACATCTCGCGCATGGCGCGGTTCATGTAGTGAACGGCAAACGAGGTGCCAGGCTCGGGTGCCGAGACCTCCAGCTGGTCTACAATGTCGCGGAGGTCGACGATGGCGGCGACGTCGAGGTCGACGCACATGAGGCCCTCGCGCTCGGTCTTCTTGGCCATGTACGCGTTCCACTTGACGAGGCGACGCTCGAGGGCACCGAGCTTGGCCATCGACTTGAGCTTGGCCTCGTGGGCGCGCTTGCTGCGGTAGCGGGTGGCGAGCAGGTCGCCGCGGGAGCGCGGCGAGGGCGAGGGTGAGGGCGATGCAGCCGTTGATGGCTTGCGGCGCGACGTGGCGAGGTCTGCCACATTGAGCGAGGTGTCGAGCGTCTTTGCGGCGTCGGGCTCGGCCGTTTCTGAGTGCGTTGCTTCTGCGATCTCGACTCCGTCGGACTCGACCCCGTTCTCGGCCTCAGTAGCGACATCGGCAGCGGTCTCTGTAGCCACAGCGGCGTCGATCCCGTCCTCTGGGGTTGCGGCAGCCTCCCCCTCTGCATCTGCATCTGACTTGACATTGGCCGCAGCCTGTGCCTCGGCAGTAACATCAGTCTCCACGTCGGCAGAAGGAGCAGCCTCTACCTCGGGGGCAGCAGCAGTGGAAGCGGCGTCAGCAGTAGCCTCGGACTCGGCGGCAGCGGCCTCTGCCTCGGCAGCCGCAGGGGCCTCTGCTTCCGCAGCTGCAGCGGTCTCGGCCTCTGCAGCAGCCTTTGCCTCTGCCCCTGCTTTCGCAGCCGCAGCGGCCTCGGCTTCCGCAGCCGCTTTTGCCTCTGCCTCTGCAGCCGCAGCGGCCTCTGCTTCGGCAGCCGCCTTCACCTCTGCCTCGGCAGCAGCCTTCGACTCTACTTCGGCAGCCGCAGCGGCCTCTGCCTCTGCAGCAGCCTTCGCCTCTGCTTCCGCAGCTGCAGCGGCCTCTGCCTCTGCAGCCGCAGCGGCCTCTGCCTCTGCAGCAGCCTTCGCCTCTGCTTCGGCAGCCGCCTTCGCCTCTGCCTCTGCAGCAGCCTTCGCCTCTGCCTCCGCAGCAGCAGCGGCCTCTGCTTCCGCAGCTGCAGCAGCCTCTGCCTCTGCTGCAGCAGCAGCCTCTGCCTCCGCAGCGGCCTTCGCCTCTGCTTCCGCAGCAGCAGCAGCCTCTGCCTCCGCAGCGGCCTTCGCCTCTGCTTCCGCAGCAGCAGCAGCCTCTGCCTCTGCAGCGGCAGCGGCCTCTGCTTCCGCAGCTGCAGCAGCCTCTGCCTCCGCAGCTGCAGCCGCCTTCGCATCTGCTTCCGCAGCGGCCTTCGCCTCTGCCTCTGCAGCGGCCTTCGCCTCTGCCTCTGCAGCGGCCTTCGCCTCTGCCTCTGCAGCGGCCTTCGCCTCTGCCTCTGCAGCGGCCTTCGCCTCTGCCTCTGCAGCGGCCTTCGCCTCTGCCTCTGCAGCGGCCTTCGCCTCTGCCTCTGCAGCGGCCTTCGCCTCTGCCTCTGCAGCGGCAGCGGCCTCTGCAGCCGCCGCCGCAGCAGCCTCTGCCTCTGCAGCAGCAGCGGCAGCGGCCTCTGCTTCCGCAGCCGCAGCAGCCTCTGCCTCTGCAGCAGCAGCGGCCTCTGCTTCCGCAGTCGCAGCGGCCTCTGCCTCCGCAGCAGCAGCAGCCTCTGCCTCCGCAGCCGCAGCGGCCTCTGCTTCCGCAGCAGCAGCAGCCTCGGCCTCTGCAGCCGCAGCGGCCTCTGCAGCCGCAGCGGCCTCTGCTTCCGCAGCCGCAGCGGCCTCTGCTTCCGCAGCCGCAGCGGCCTCTGCTTCCGCAGCCGCAGCAGCCTCGGCCTCCGCAGCCGCAGCGGCCTCTGCTTCCGCAGCCGCAGCAGCCTCGGCCTCTGCAGCAGCAGCGGCCTCGGCCTCTGCCTCTGCCTCTGCCCCAATCTCCGACCCATCCAAACTAATGTCAACGTCGTCCGAGGTCTCGAGCAGAAGCTTGTCGCCCGAGTTGTCCAACAGCACATCGTCCAAGCTCCCATCTCCCAGACCATCCTCTCCACTCAGATCCAGTCCCGAAACATCGCTGAGGCCCAAGTCATCATCACCTCCCAGATCATCGTCGTCCAGCCCCAGATCTGCCCGCGTCGCTCCCTCCCCACCCACGTGAGTCCTTCCTTCCCCCATCTCTTCTCCCCTCCTCCTCATCCTTCTTTCCCACCTACCAAGGTCATCATCGTCGTCATCCAAGCCCAAGCCCAGGTCGTCGTCGTCATCGTCCAGGCCAAGGCCAAGGCCGAGGCCGAGGTCATCGTCGTCGTCGTCGTCAAGCCCGAGGCCAAGGTCGTCGTCGTCGCCACCGAGACCGAGGTCGTCCGACCCAAGGTCGAGGTCGTCTGAGCCAAGGGAGACGTCCGAGCCCAAGTCTAGAGAGTCCGAGTCCATGCTGTGTTCACTGCCGCGTTCTGCTTCGCTGCTCCTTTGCGACGCTGAGTGCAGTGTGGCTGGCGCCGGCTCGTTGCTGCGAGAGCCCGAGGCACACGGCACGTGGCGGGGTGTGGGACGACTCGGCGGCAACTGCCGCTGCTGATGGAACTTTGCACAGCGAGAGAGTGTGAGGGGAGGGATCGCGAATGCTTTCATTGTGGGGATGGACAGACGAATGACGGAGACTGTAGCGAGTGAATGAGAGGGAAAAGAGGTGAGTGAGGGAATCAGATCAGAGGCAGAGAGGCGAGGGCAAGGGAGCATCGGAGCTCAGCGAGACATAGTCATAAATTAATATGGTGCAGCGATGTCGTATCAGCATGAGCCGAAGCTCTTATCAGACTGGGGCGACACGGGTGCTGCTCATCATAGCAAACCGATGTGACCTTGCGGTCAAAAAAAAGGTGGTGGTTAGGGGAGAGGGGCGCATAGTTAGACATACCTGCTGGAGTTGCGGAGGCCTTCATTGCGAAAGTTCGTGTCGGTCGGTCGACAGTGACTGCGCAAGGCGAGAGGAGAGGGCGTGAGTGCGGCATCGGCCGGAGGGAAGCATGGGCAGGGTGGGGAGAAGGAAGCGAACGTCGGAGCTCAGCGAGACATAGTCATAAATTAATATGGTGCAGCGATGTCGTATCAGCATGAGCCGAAGCTCTTATCAGACTGGGGCGACACGGGTGCTGCTCATCATAGCAAAACCGACGATGGCAAAAAAAGGAGGGACACGAGGAAGAAACATACCTGCGATGGACGTCAACAGCAGCGACGCCGCAGCGGTGGAGAGCGAACCGAGCGAGACCACAAGGGCAGCTTAGAGACGGCGACCACGGCGACCACCCTTCTTGCGGGTCGAGTCTGTGGGGATCGGGGTGACGTCCTCGATGCGGCCGATGCGGAGGCCGTTGCGGGCAAGCGCGCGGATGGCCGACTGGGCACCGGGGCCGGGGGTCTTGGTCCGGGTACCGCCAGTGGCACGGAGCTTGATGTGCACCGCGGTGATGCCGCGGATGGCGCACTGCTCGGCGACGGTCTGGGCGGCCATCATGGCAGCGTACGGCGACGACTCGTCACGGTCGGCCTTCACCTGCATACCGCCGGTCACACGCACGATGGTCTCCATGCCCGAGAGGTCGGTAACATGGATGAACGTGTCGTTGAACGAGGCAAAGATGTGAGCGACGCCAAAGACGTGCTCGCCCTCGGCGGCGTTGGGGAGGTGGCTGTTGTCCTCCTCCTTCTCGACCTTCACGCGCTTCTTCTTAGCCTACTCGTCCGCATTCATACACAAGGCTTGGTGAGTCCCTGCCGCTTGCTCGGGCCTACACGCTTGCTCGGGCCCCCCAGGCCCTTTCCCACATAATGTGGGATGGCAGGCAAAAATAAACGTCACATCCAGCACTCGCTCTCTACCACAGCTACACCGCACAGCCATGGCCAACCACCTCCACCCTCGCCTTCCACCTACCCCATAGCCACAGCTAATAGGTAGCGGCTGCTGGGTGGGGGGTGGATGGCAATGGCGGCTGGTGCCTGGTTGCGCAAGACGTTCCGCCGACGGGGCGGTGATGGTGGCAGACAAAAAGCTGCAGCACCGAGCCGGCGTCGGGGCCGTCGTCCTCGGGGAGGGGGCTCTTCTAGCGCACATACACCGAGTGCAAGGGGCACAACCAGACAGAAGCACTCATTACAAGTGTAGCAAGGCACTGGTGGGGGTGTCGCCCCTACCAAGTGCCCATAGGTGGACTCGGTGAACTCGCCCAGCTGCAAAGCCTGGGATGGGGCAACTCGCTCTTCCGACATACCATGATTGAATGAGAGTGGTGTGTGTCTGTTAACTCCCCAACAGTTTCGCCACTCGCTCCTCCTTCCCATTTCCACCGCTGACGAAACGAGTCGCCGAATCGAGCAAACGAGTCTGACCGCCACCCGCCACCGCGCCACCCACCCGCCTGCTGCCAACTTGTTCTCATCGATGTAGGTGGCGGTGAGCGATGTCGCAGGAGAAAGGAATCAGATGTGTGAGCTTGTGTTTGTTGTCAATCGTCTCGGTGTGGCATTGGGGTGTGCCGAGTAGGCCTCGATTGTCCCATTGCTCGCGTATCGGGATTCGCCTATGCTCATGATGGTGGCGGCGGAGGAGTCGGTCCAGGGTATGATGGAGGCGATCGTGGTGGTGTGCTCGCGTGAGGGTGGGATCCAGAAGAAAGGGGAGACAAAGAGTGCTATGTCTCCTTGCTCGTGGTCTTGGCTCGTCAAATGGAGGTCATACACATCGCCAGGCAGGCGGCGCAGCGTGTAGATTTGGCGACGGTAGCCACCTGACTTGCCTGTGGCTTGAGATGGCGACGCACACGTCCGCGTCGGCAGTCTTCCCGCTCCCGATCACCACAGTCTGGCCGGTCTTCCGTGACTTTCTCTTCCCTGGCCGCCTCATCTCCACCATCGAGGCATGCGAGCTCGTCGAGGGGTACGTCGGCCGGGCTTGGCTTGAGCGCGCGTGGGCGAGGTGAGGCGCGGCAGGGGAGGCGGGGCAAGGCGAAGAAGCAGGATGTGGGACTCACACAAAGCGTGCGGGCTACCGGTTGTATGTGGTGTGTTCATGCATGTGTTTGGTGTGTGTGTGTGTGTGTGTGTGTGTGTGTGTGTGTGTGTGTGTGTGCCGTGTATATGTGTGTAGTGACGGCGCGACGTGCGTCGGCGCAGAGCGAGTCATCCGCTGGAAGACTGGCGAGGAGCGGCGGCATCGGCTGCTGGAGCTTTCCGACGAGCACTACTCGATCTCGTGGAACCTGGTCGGCGCCAACCACCCAACAGAGACCATGAGTGTCCTCTCGCACATCCGCTGCTTCCCGATTACCGAGGACAACACCACGCTTGTCGAGTGGTCGTCCGACTTCTCGGCAGACGTCTCGCCGAGCGTGCTCAAGTTTGAGCAGACAGCATACGCCAAGTCACTCGCAGAAATGCGCCGCATCCTCGTCGAGAACGCCGCGGCTCCCGCTTCGTCCTCCGATCTTGTCTCGGCATCGTCGCCTGCACTGGCTCGTCACGGCGCGTCCTTGTCCGACGACGCCCACTCGTCGGTCAGTGCTGCGCCTTCTGCCCTCTGACGGCTCTTTCGCCTACATGCCCTCCCCGATCAGCCAAGCCAGTCCCACATGCGTGTCGCTCCCACGATCACGAATGCTGTAATGCTACAGCGCCTTTCTCCCTTTGCCAGGTGCCATCAGCTGTGCTCCCCCCTCGTCGCCCTGCGCGCTTCCTCCATGCGATCCTCGGGTTGTTGTGGGCCAGTTCAGCCCAATCAAAACTTCCGGGATCGTCCTCGATCGGGGCCGGTGTGTGTATGTGTATGTTTGTGTGGTGGCGGCGGTGATGGTGATGGTGATGGTGGGGCGGTCACTGTGGGACACCACGTCGAGTTGACGACATCACGCAACAACGGAACGTGTGCACACCACTCTGTCCTTCTCACGCACCCTCTCTCCGGTACACCGACTGATGTTTCGCGTGGGACTCCAGCGCGGGGCGTCGCTTGTTGTAGCACCGATTCTGGCGGACAACTACTTGTATGCGCTCTGCACTGCCAACGGTGGAGTGGCGGTAGTGGACCCCGGCGGAGTGCCCGAGACAGCCGAGTGGGACGAGGTGAACAAGGCAGTCAAGGCCGTCCTTGTCACCCACCACCATCACGACCATGTCGACGAGCTGCGGAGTGTACTCGCTCATGCCAGCATCAAGCGCCCGCCCGTGGTCGTCTCCTCGGCAGCCGCGCTCCGCGTCCCCTGCTCGTCCTCGCACCTGTCGCTCGAGCCCGGCTCCACCAAGGTCGACATCCCTGGCCTCGGCCCGGATGCGGCAGTCGACGTCATCGCCACGCCTGGTCACACCCGCGATCATTGCGCGTTCCACTTTCCTCAGCTCGGCGTCGTTTTCTCGGGCGACAACCTGTTCGGGCTCGGCTGCGGTCGGGTCTTTGAGGGCTCGATCGCAGAGATGCATGCCTCGCTTCAGAGCCTCGCCAAACTCCCGGATCATACCGTGGTTGCTGGCTCGCACGAGTACACCCTCGCCAATCTCGAGTTCTGCCTCTCGCTCGGCGATGAGCTCTACTCGTACCTCCCCGGCTCGCCCGATGATGCCAAGGCCGCCTTTGATGCTCGTGCCGCTGACATCCGCACCGCCGCTGCCGCCGGTAAGCCCACCATGCCCACCACCATCGGGCTGGAAAAAGCCACCAACCCGTTCCTCGTCCCTGACCTCTCCAGCTTTGCCCGAGTCCGCGCCGCCAAGGACGTGTTCTAATGAGGAACCCAGGCTTTTACGCACGCGAGAGGCACACAAGCAGCATCTCGAATAAAGAACGTCTCTGTTTACTTGGCAAGACACAGTAGCGCCCTCGATCAGGTCGGTTACGAGTACTTGGGAATGGTCGTGTGCGCCAGCCCCGATCGGTGCCACAGTCGATTCGCGGTTGCCAAAGCCCGAGCGGCGACTCGGTCGGTCGAGGGAACACCACCACCAACAGCGGGAGCAGGAGAGCCCGTCCACGGCCACCTCACCGCAGGCCAGGACGACCATGTCTACGGATGTGGCGAATGAGTCCGAGACAACATCATACGCAACGTTTCGGGTTGTGCTGAACGTTCCCTGGGATGCGCCGCTCGGTGGGAGCAAGCTCGACATGAACACCTTTGTCCGCTCAAACACCCTCCGCCTTCCGCGAGTGCCCGACTTTGAGCTGCGACCAAAGGAGGCTGCGGCGGAAAACTCGGCGAGTGTGGGAGCTACTACTTCTACTGAGGTTGTTATGCGGTTGATCGATCCTCGGGCGCATACGCCGACGCCCGCGCCGACTCCCATCAAGCGCAAAGGTGACAAGTTTGCATCGCTGACAGGGGATGCCCAGCCCAAGGCAGAGCCGCGCACCTCGGCAGAGACAGAGGCTGGATCGTCGGCAGTGAGTGCAAAGGCCAGTGCCGAGGCTGATGGCGAGGCTGAGCTTGACGCAGGGTGGACCAAGGAGATGGATCGTATTGTGTGGTCGTTTGTGACCATGACCGGCCTCTCGGACGCGCAGCCGGACGGCTTGGACTGGACCAGCCTCGCGCAGCGGATTGGCGGTGTGACGCCCGAAGCATGCATGGCCCGAGCAGCGTTGCTGTTTGAGCGGCGGCTCCGAGGCTCGGGGACTGGTGCCACGGCACTGGTCCCGCCGCAGAGCATGGTGGCCAAGACGGCGGCTGAACCGACTGCCGCGCCCGAGGTTCGCCGCCTGACACCGCTGCAGTCCGGAGCGGCCGCTGCCGACGACGACAACGCGCTGATGCAGTCGCTTCTTCGGCTCTCGGCCAACTCGGCCGGTGCGTTTGTCGCATCAGCGTCAGCGTCGGCCGAGCCGTCACCGGTCTCGTCGCCGCCTATCTCTGCCGGCCCGGTCTCGCTCTCAGGCGACGACGATTCGTTCTCCGAGTCGTCGGTCACCCGGTCCGAGATTCTCGCGGCCTTTCTCGACTACGACGACCCCGGCACACCGTCCAGCATTTTGTGATGCGAAGCGTGACAGGGCCTGGTCGAACAACCGCAAACCATTGAATGGGTGCGTTGGTGGGCGCGGCGATTGTGATGAGTCGCCACGCCGCTTGTTGGCCTGGGCATGAGCAACTCGCCTGTTTCGGCTCAATTGCCGGATCCCTGGGCCTGTCTTCCGCAAGGCTTCCGCACACCGGCTTGGTGCGACGAGACAAGCTCGACTCACCTCTCCCAGCCACTACAGGCTAGCGCCTTACTTCGCTTAGAGCTCCAATGGCGTCGACACGTCCGGATCCAGAAGAGCGGGAGCCCACTCGCCCACCCTTTGATGACGATCTACAACGACATCGACTTGACTCATGTGCACGCGAGCTTGCTACGGCAGCTCAGGTACACGCGGGTCACCGCGCCAATAGCACGATGTGCTGGCACAAAGGGGCAGGCCGCCGAGCCAGCGGAGCGACCGCTCGGCCGGGACTCGAGAGCGTTCCTCAGCAAAAGTGTACTTGAGCAGTACTCTGCAATCACCTGGCCCAGTGAGTCGATCGATGTGCAGTACGCCGAGGCCTGCGGCTCTGAGGATCGCTGCGGGCACGTTTGGCCAGGAGCAGCGCGGACAAAGTCGTTGTTGTCCTCTGTGCTAAAGGTGGTGAACGAGATGATGATGGTCTCGCGTGGGGGCGGTGATGTTCCAGGAGCAGTCCATGTTGTTAGCGTAGAAGCCGCCATAGCTCGATACGTTGATCGACCCGGCGCGTCCGCCGGGTGCCGTCAGCATTTAGAGTCGCTTGCACCACCTCACCCGCACCATTGCAGCCACCCCCGCGTACGGCATTGTAGCTGCGTCGACGTCATGCCTCCTAGCCGGAACTTTCTATAGTTTCCCGCTCCTGTTCGAGGAGCTCAAGGGTCCGATGCGGCTGTCCCAGCTCGACGTGGCTGTTGCTGGCGCATGCGCATACTCAAGTGTGCTCATGTGCCTCTCCCTCGGCCCCTTCGTCTACCCCGCCTTCCCAAGCCCCACCACCGCCATGTGTATTTCAGGTCATCGCTGCTGGCGATCACCGCTGCTTGGGCCATCCTCGGAAGCGCCACTGCCGTGAGCGGCACCTTCGCTGCCGTGCTGATGGCGGCTGGCGCAACGGCGCTTGGCGTGTCATGCGGGATGTCGTACCCGTACGAGATGGTGACGCTCATCATGGACGGCCGTGTGGCAGATGTTGTTGCGGGTGGCTATGCGAGTGCCGTGTTTGCCTCGGCCGGCCTTGTTGCCACCGTGTATCTCGTCGTGCTGCAGCACGCGCCGCACCTGGGCCCCCTCGCTGCCATGCGCATCTTCGTGGCAACGTTTGGGTCCGTTTCGGCGCTGTTCACCTTCGCTGCGTTTGCTTACGACACATCACCGCCGGATCCTTCGCCGACGCTCGGGGAGGACTGTCCTCTGGTGCAGCCTGCCGAGGGGAACGAGCCAGAAGGTCCTCTGCGGACGCCGCGTCAGCTGCTCTCCGACGCTTTGGCGTTTCCGCTGCGCAAAGTCTCGTTTGCGCTTGCGACGGTCGTACTGGCGCTCAAGGTCGGCATCGGCGCCACGGCCATTGCCAACATTGGTGCCGCGGTGGCGTCCGCGGGTGTCACCGGTCTTGACGTCGGCTGGGGCGTCGTTAAGCTCATGGCGGCGCAGGTAGTCGGTCGGATCACCCTCGCGAGCGTGTCTGCGCTCCCGCTGTTTGGTCAGGGACACGGAGCGCTGATCCTTGTCTCGCTTGGCTACACAGCGCTGTTTGGTTGGGCGTGGCTCGCAGGCGGCGTGGCGGCGCACAGCGTTGGGGCGTACACGATCACGCTTGGGTTCCTCTACGGCATCATGTGGACCGTGACGTCGTACATTCCCCGCTTTGCTCATCCCGTCACGAAAGACGTCGGCGACTACTGGCAGATCCTCATGAGTGTCGCGAACCCGTCGGCCATTTTCACCACCGCCGCGTTCGGTGCTGCCACAAGCTCTACGCTGCGCAGTGTCGCGCCGGTGAGAACAGCTGCGACGGCAAACACTGCTTCCGCGACTCGTTCCTCATGCTCGCGGTTGCCTCCGCAGTCCTCCTGGCCGCCTCGCTTGCCCTCACCCTCATCAACACCGTGTTCCAGGAGCGTGACGACGGCAAGCGGCAAGCTCACTCGTAAACCAGATTTTGTCTTTATCCACAGAGGACGACGACGTCGACTCACCCGAGCTCGGATGCAGCACAGTCCACTCCGCCACCGCGGAACCGGCCGATGTCCCGCACACTCTCGGTTGCCGGCCGAGCGGTCGCTCCACTGGCTCGACGGCTTGACATTTCCTCGCATTTACTGTGCTGGCCATCTTTGCCAGCACATCGTGCCAATTGGCGCGGTGATCCACGTGTACCCGCGTACACACGAGATCAAGGTGAGAATTGGGCGCTCAGAGGGCGCCCCGTCGTCGTTGTCGTCGTCGCGTATCGTCGATCGGAGAGCCGACTGTGTCGAGGCCATCAGAGCGAGGTGGCAGCCGCTTTGATTCGCTCCGCTGGCCGGGGCCGGTGGCGTACATGGCGCCGGAGCAGCTGCGCGAAGCCGAAGAGGGTTTTGAGGGCGACATGTTCACCTTTGGCACGCTCCTCTACGAGATGCTCATGCGGGCGCCGGCGTTTGATGGCAGCAATGCCATGGAGATTGGCCGCCAGGTCCTCACCAGCAACGCTGCTAGTGCGATGGCGGGTAATTCATCAAGCGGTGTTGGTCGGTCGATCCGCTGGTGAGGCCCATGGCGCAGGAGGCTGCGGATGTGCCGGTGGCGGCGAGGATGCGGGCGTGGTGCTCGGGGGAGAAAAGGCGGTGGGTGTTATGGATGGCGGCGGAGGATGATGGGGGGGCAGTTGGAGAATACGGTGAGGAGGCGATTGGGGTCGGAGGGGTGGGGGATGGAGAGGCCGGTGTGGTTGGCGATCGTGATGCGGGTCCAGTTGTTGCGTGAGTGGATGGGGATGGAGCGGCGGGCGTGGAACCAGAAAGAGGAAGGGTGGCGGGCGTGGAGGGTGTAGCCGGTGGGGGAGGGGTGCCACTCGAACGTCTCGTCGGAGTATGAGCGGGAGACCAGGACAGGCAGCTGGCCATCCGCACTCGGCAGCGCAATCACACCCCGCACACTGTTGGTGTGGCCCTCCAGCACCTCACAGGAGGCACCGTCGGCGGTGTACCGCATGGCGCCCGTCCCGTTGTCCGCAGGATGCCACACCCGGATCGTCTTGTGGTTCGACCACGAGACCAGGACAGGCAGCTGGCCATCCGCACTCGGCAGCGCAATCACACCCCACACATACTTGGTGTGGCCCTCCAGCACCTCACAGAATGCACTGTCCGCGGTGTACCGCATGGCGCCCGTCCCGTTGTCCGCAGGATGCCACACCCGGATCGTCTTGTGGTTCGACCACGAGACCAGGACAGGCAGCTGGCCATCCGCACTCGGCAGCGCAATCACACCCCACACATACTTGGTGTGGCCCTCCAGCACCTCACAGAATGCACTGTCCGCGGTGTACCGTATGGCGCCCGTCCCGTCGTCCGCAGCATGCCACACCCGGATCGTCCTGTCCTTCGACCACGAGACCAGGACAGGCAGCTGGCCATCCGCACTCGGCAGCGCAATCACACCCTGCACATCGTCGGTGTGGCCCTCCAGCACCTCACAGGAGGCACCGTCGGCGGTGTACCGCATGGCGCCCGTCCCGTTGTCCGCAGGATGCCACACCCGGATCGTCTTGTGGTTCGACCACGAGACCAGGACAGGCAGCTGGCCATCCGCACTCGGCAGCGCAATCACACCCCACACATACTTGGTGTGGCCCTCCAGCACCTCACAGGAGACACTGTCTGCGGTGTACCGCATGGCGCCCGTCCCGTTGTCCGCAAGATGCCACACCCGGATCGTCTTGTCCTCCGACCACGAGACCAGGACAGGCAGCTGGCCATCCATACTCGGCAGCGCAATCACACCCTCGCACATACTTGGTGTGGCCCTCCAGCA